GACACCGTACTCCAGCTGCAGCCTCACCAAGGCTGAGTACAACAGGAGAATGACATCCTGGGATTTGCTTGAATCATCTGTGGATGCAAGCCAGCATTTTGCTCGCTTTACTAGCTGCAGCATCACATTGCAAGCTCATGTTCATCTTGTGGTCAGTCATGACCCCCCCCAAGTCCCTTTCGTCTGTAGTGCTAGCCAGCATAGCACTGCTGAGCCTATAAGCATGCTGCAGGTTTTTCTTCCCAGAGTGGATAACCTTGCATCTTTTGGTATTGAACACCATCAGGTTCTCATCTTCCCACTTTCTGAGCCTGTCAAGGTCAGCCTGGATCACCCTCCTGTCCTCGGGTGCGGACTCTTTACCCCAGAGTTTGGTGTCATTGGTGAACTTGGCCAGTCTGTTTCTGACACCAATGTCCACATCATTTAATGAAGATTGTTGAATAGTATAGACCCAAGGATGGAGCCTTGAGGGACCCCACTGGTCACAGCGCACCACAATTGACTTCTGTCAACGACCACCCTCTGGGTCTGACCACAGAGCCAATTCCCCAGCCAGCAGACCATGGTGAAGCTGAGGCCACAGTTGGCCACTTTTTGCTAAGAGGATACCAGATCAAAGGCTTAAAAAAAAGTCAAGCTATGACATCAATCTCTTCTCCCTTGTCCAGGTGGTAGGTCACCTGGTCATAAAAGGAAATAAGATTGGTTTTATCAGATAAATGTAACGAAGGCAGGAGCACTTCCTTCTCCCACATCTGCTTTGAAGTTGAGCTCTACGTGTGCATCCTGGAAACAGGCATGCAGAGCAGTTTCACCATGAAAGGTTCTTGAACCACTGCACTAGGGGTTTTAGCCATCAACCTTGTTCATCTAGTCCCTTACTTAAAACTGGAGCTGGCAGGGGAGGGGCATGGCTTGATCTGTGCAGCTGTTGCAAAGGATGGTAGGACTACAGGATCTGGTACCATGCCAAACGGACTGGTCCATCTGTTTTGTTAGGTATAAATGAGTATCTCCCAAGGACAAACTTGATGGTAGTGCTGCTTAGGCAGCAGTTTCAATTCTTGTGTTATCAATGATGCACATCATATTGTTGTCCTGGTTCCTGCCATCACTCAGGTAATCAGTTTAGACTTGTATGTGTCTCAAATCTAGAGGCTACTAATTTTCCATGAACAAACAATGGGAGCTAAGTGACTGGCTGCAGAGCAAGGCTGATGGGCTTTAATTCTTAGCTGAGTTGGAAGACCCAGATCTTGGCAATGAAGTGAGGAGAGGGAAGCAGTGCTGCTTTAGAGGAAGAACAGAAAGGAGACTGAGGGCTTGCTGATTAGTTTGACAGGCGCACAATACAAACTTGCTGTCCTCCTTCCTTTGATCTTGTGACCTGGTGGCAGTTTCTAGTCACGTGACATTGCTATCTAGCACTGCACAGGATGGTACAAGCATTTAATTTCTTCCTTTCTTAAGCTTCATGGTTGCTATCTCAGAAACCAGATTAACAGCTCTAAACTGTCTATCTCCAGTTGCAAACCCGTTCTGTACTCTGCAGTCCTAGGATTCCTGACAGAGTATTGAGGGGGGGCTGAGAAGGAGGAAGGTCAGCTGTGGTCCAAGTTACCTGGAAACTGAATGCTGTGTTCCCCTGAGCTTGCAGACTTGTTGAGCAAGTGCAGGCCACTAAGAGAGAACAGATCGAGACAGCCAGCAAGTGAGCTCACATGCTATCCAAGAAACCCTGGGCATAAAATGTTGCTCAGAAGCAGAGGCTGCTCTCGAACCAACCCTGTACCAACTTCCTGGCTATAATTTTACAGGGGGATTCTTTAAAACCCTCTCCAAGCTGGTCTGAAGAACAGAGTCTAAGCAGTGACCTGGTTTCTCTACTCTGTAGATCTGATTACTGGATAGGCAGCCTGGAGGTCCAAACTGTCTGATTTAGTCAAGTGGCTCTTGCTGACTCTGCTCATTTGTGTCATTAGTTTTCTGAGCTTGTGTTGCTTTTATTACTGCTGGTACCTAACCATGTATTCAGAGCTGTCTCTAAAAGTGAATAACTGGCATGTGGGGATCAGATGCTGAGTATATTATGAAGACTCTGGGGATCTACTACAAGTCTTTTGTTTCTTTGCCCCTTTTGTGAGGGTTTGAATGTGAGCTGGGGTTGGGTACAGCAACAGCAAATGGCTACATGGGACTGTGGAATATCCAGCTGTTTGCTGGAGCTTTTATTTCAAAGGATGCTACCTCATTCAGTCGCCTTCCCAGCACTGAGACTATGGATAAACAGTTCTCCTTGAAATAAAAGCTGCAGCAAACAGCTGCATGCTTTTTCCTTCATTCGGTAGCCTGATACCAACTGAGTGAATTGCAAACCAACCTGATAAGAAAAGGTCTGGGTTCAGCTGTATAAAGGTAGTATGAAATGCTGGGTCGTTGTTTACCCTTCCCATCCTCGGGTAGGAAGGGTCTAGTGACTGGAGCCAGGAAGCTGACTGGGACCATGTATCTAGCTTGTTGTCCAGACTTCCTTGTCTTATCTGTTGGAAGTCAGACTCTCGAAAGTACCCATCAGCTTGGGATGCTTCAGTTTTTGACAGCAGACATATGGGATCTCTGGAAAATCTCACCTTGCATGACTAGAGATAGGCACCACCTATCAGGAGATGTATGAAGACTTTGACATGGATTCCACAGATGGGTGTATCCCTGGGGGTATGATCAGCTCTTCTGAAAGGTGCAATTGAGAGAATTGGAAATAAGGCTGGTAGTGACCTCCAGAGTTAATCTAGTCCAACTCTGCCTGAGGCAAACCATCCCATACAATCTTTAAAGTATACTGTCTCCCACCCCCTCTTTTTGCCCTTGATGGCAGGAAGCTCATTAAGACTAGGGAATGTTAAGATGGACTGAAGTGATCTTTGTTTCCTCCACTACCTCCCTCTGCTTGTCTTACAGAAATACCACTCGGAGAACAGGGGTTCTGACCCAATGGCAGAGACACAAGCTCAAGTGGATGAACTTAAAGGCATCATGGTCCGAAACATAGGTATATAGCTTTTACTTCCTGTCCTGCACTTGTTGTCCAAGGTCCCTTTTGTGTATGCCTTGTACAGATACTTTTTTCCAAGAGTGTCAGTGCAGCTGCTTTTAGACTGATACTTTTGAAGTTGGGGTTTATTTGCCATTTTGTGCAGCAGGAATTTGGTTACATATAAGGCATTTTTCCCTGGTTAGCAGGTACTTTGTCACTTGTACAAAAGTACTTGTTCTGCAGGAAAAGTTGCTTGCTTTTGGGCTATCAGTATTAGCTGAAGGTTGAAGAGCTGTTTAAAAAAACTGCTAAACTATCCAAAATCCTGTGTGGGTTTGTTTTGCATCATGAACACTTGGCCTCGATACATCCTTGAACTATAGGTCATTCTTCAGGGTAAGATTGGAGCATAATCCCTTGCTGTATTTGAGGGTCCTTCACCTGGGGATCAAGACTTAACTTAGAAAAACACGACTTCTTCCAGGCTAAAAATCTACATGGTTATTTTGGCACAGCCATGTAAAAATAACTCAACAGTTCAAGGGGTTTTTTCCAATTTGTCAACCGCTTCTGGGTTCAAGCGTGTATCCTTTTTCACATGCACTTTGGAGTTCTGTAGGTTGACCTGAAGCTTCATGGGAGGGGGGGGGACCTTCAAAACCTTGTTCTTTTTAAGTGACCAATCCCTGTACAGCCTGGGTTTGGGGGGGGGGGGGG